CAAGTAAAGCCTCATTCATTTTCTCCACAGAGAAATATATTTTTAGCAGTAACAGATAAACATTTAAAGACAACTCTGAGCTTGTTAATCGAGTTTATATACTTTTTTAGAATAGTCTGTTTGCAATTTTTTTTTTTTTTTTTTTTTGAGGCGTGTTTTTTGGGTGTTGGTGATTGTGAGTAATGCCACGGTCACTCTAGAGTTTGAGTATGCGAAATTCTGTTGTAAGGCACTACGAAAAGAGGCGGGATTAAACAAGATAATAAGATGTTAAAAAAGCATGTGATTGCTCCATATTTTAAATCTCTGTACAGAGAAGTCATGTTTTGATCTTTGATTGGTCTCATGCAATCACATGATGCGATTTTGCAGGTCCAAGGTCTCTAAAAGCTTGAATTTTTTAATGCAAAACTTGAGCTTGTATTTCCGGTCTGCCACATTTGCATGCGTATGAATGGAAGTCTATGGAGCGAAAAGTTCAGTGTGACCGCAGTTTAAGTTGGTGAAACTCAATTCTGAGCACCATAGACTGGGTTTCGGGAAGTGGCGACAGCGATCAGATACTACCATAGAGGTTGGATGTTGGAGTCTGTATCAAAAAGTAGAGGACCAGGGTGGTGGAATTCCAGGAGTTTTTCTGGAAAAATTACAAAATGGGAAAGTGGTGGGAGATGGCTGTGAAAAACAGTATGGGAGACTCCGGGGAAAAAACTGTTGGCAGGTATGCCCATTCTCTGCAGAACATTCAACCAATCACAGTCCCACAGTAGGCAAATTGTACCAAAAGGGATCTTTAGCTCTGCACAATGAAACACTGCAAAATGATTGAATATATCGCCTTGTTTCAGCTGAGTGGTACATTTTAGTGTAGTATGATTTGTTGTGGTAGAGGTCACCCTGATCAGGCCTCTGTTTCCACTGACAAAGTTGCGATCAATGTCATTCTTGCAGAAGAAGAAAGCTGTTTACATATTGTATCCTTTGCAAATGTCCATTATTTTGAATAAAGTTTTTTTATAAACTAATTTCGAGAGGATTACCCTATACTCCCCCTTCTTTCCAAATGGGTGACACGGTGGCCCAGTGATAAGCACTGTTGCCTCACAGCAAGAATGTCTCAGGTTAAAGTCCCAACTAAACCAGTTGACATTTCTGTGTGTAGTTTGCTCATTCTCCCTGTACTTGCGTAGGTTTTCCCCGGGTTCTCTGGTTTCCTCCCAAAGTCAAAAAACACACAATCTAAGTAAATTGTATAGCAAATTAATATCATAGCCAAACTCTTAGCAAGCATACATCTCTCCTTAGCCATCCTATATCTGTCATTAGCCAGAAATAAGTCAGGGGAGTTCATTTAGATCTACCTGAGCTTAAACTCCCCTCTCACTCTGCAAACATGAGGGAGCCCAGGGCTAGAGGATCTCATAAGCTCAGGGCTCTCTCCCGGGATAGCATGCCAAACAAGCTTTATTATCAATCATCAGCTGCATGCGAACTCTTGAAATGTAGAGAGAACCAGCACGACTTGTACTTTCCACACGACATGTGAATAGCTCTAAACAACAATGGAGGACATACAGCAGATCCTGGTCTAGCTTCTTGTCACATGACTGTTTGTCACAAGAAGACGACAAGCTTTGTTTGAGCTTGAGTCATTGCTGTGTATGTCATTGTATTATTACAGTGTCACGTTTCAGCGGTGTATTTAAAACAGTTATTCCCGTGTTGTCATTCCCTTGTCTTGTTGCACATGCAAGAGACAATTCTCTGTAAATCAGTAGTGTTCAGCAGCTAGTCTAGCTCCACCAAAAAAGTGGTATGGTGGTGCGATACTGTACTGTAATGGCCGTTAGTGCTTATTTTGCAATTGACTTGAAAATGATTGTTTTTGTAGATACAACTAACACATTTAAAAAACATCTGAAAAAAAGTCTGTTTCAAAACAAAGTTGATGGTGATGTAATTCACTTGGTTTAAACAGTTTACAACAACAACAACAAAAAAAACTTCTTTTAATCCATGGGAAAAACAATAAGACAGAAATGTTCAAATGACACATGCTCTGCTAACTGATTAGCTGCACCAACAACACTGTCACTGTCAGGCCTCATAATGAGATCTGTCAGGGCTAAAAATAGCAGGCATTGGAGTCACATTACTGGCACCAACAACTGGAATGTAAATCATGGAAAGTTATTCCAGGAGCAGGCAATGATCTTGATCCAGGAACATGTTCTGCTTGTGTTGCAAGAACATCTCAAACCTGTAGAGTAATAGCAGGTTCACTCGGCATGAACAGCTTTGAGTGTTTTGTCAGAACCCGAGTGTCAAACCTCAGGAGTAGTTTGTTTCTTGAAGGCAACATGATCTCAGGACACAGTTGATCTTTCTGTCTTTCAACTCCATCCTGAGCAGGTTTCGCTGTAAGACCTGAGTCTCTGTGTGTCTGTCTGCTGTTCTGTTGTATGGTTTTCTTACCTTTTTTTATCAACTGTGATGACAATGACCTCAGTGGACTTGCTAATGCTGCTGTTAAAGCAGCTGTTTTTGAAGTTGGGTATTGTTCTTGCATTTGATTCTGCTCTGTTAGATCAAAGGAGGAAACTCAAGATTAGAGTTTGTGAATAAACCCAGTGAAAGACCTGAATATGCCATTACAGCGTTGCTTTAGCTGTCATAATGCAAATCAGTCCGATCTCGATCTTGCTGATAAAGCTTGATTGCATGTCCTGGTGTTTCAGATCGGTGGCCCGTTGACACATTCTGTCAGTGCTGCTTGTATATATTTGTGCAATTATGAAATTTGCTCTGTGCAGTGCACCTTCATATCAGTCTTAATTTGTGCCAATGTGGGTGGGAGAATTTAGCACTTCATCAGCCTGCAGTATTGTGGGTGGAACTAAGTGACAGTCTGGTGCCGCAACATCAATATGCTTGTTCTCAGATTGTTGCCCCTTTTAACTGGATGTGATATGGATTGTATGGGGTATCTCCTCTCCATAGACCCCGTCTCTGATTTCATGCAATCTTACGCTTGATGCTTGAAGTGATTTAGCAGTCACTTCTTCCTGTTATTCCAGCATAAATTACTCAAGACTTTTGAAGCAAAAATCATTATTGTCAATGCTTGAAGAAGGTCTTGTAAATAAAACAACAGCCTTTCTCGTCTTAAAAATCTATGTTGTGATTGATTATAGCCCAACCTAAGTCACTGACCACCCACCCACCCACTCTAGTCAGCACTTGAACAAACCCAACCCCCTTTTTTCCTATTGGGAAAATGTCAAGTCGACCTTGCTTTGTTCCCCTCTCTGGTTTAGAACGTATCTACGTAACGAAACAGCACTGGCTTTCTGTTAGCATGTCCAGATCATAATTATAGGCAAACAGCTGTTGTGTCAATGTTTTATAGAGATGCAAAAAAAAAAAAAACTACATTTGACTAATGGTAATATTGTCATCATTTCTACCCCCAACTGCGACATGTTGTGTTTTTTTTATGTCCCACATGAGCAGTGTTGTTAATTACAAGCCGTTTCACACTCTCCCTAATTGTCTTTTTTGTTTTTGTTGGGCAAACTCGCACAGTAAGATGCCAACACACGGGGAAGAATTTCTCTCATCTTTTTTTTTTCCAGTAGCACATCAGTCTTCATTTATTCAAATTGGCTTCCTGATTTGGCCATACAGAATTCTCAGCAGTGGAGATTTAAAAATTTAATTAGTAGAAAAAAGGAGGTACTGCCATCTGCTATTAGAGGATAGAGCCAAATATTGCTCTGCTTTGTTTCATTAGACTCCTTATTTATTACGATGGCTTGTGGTTCTTTAAAAGAACAAGATAGGTGTAGAAGGCATTACATTACTTTGTATTTTGTTTTTACCCTCATAATATTTTGGTGGCAGTGGTTTGAGTGTAAAAGCATTTTATCTCTTCTGGGAAATATTGAGCATTGATATAAAAGGTAGCATGGCAGCCTACACTACAAAGAAAAATGAAAGAGAAAATACTGTAGACATGGCACTGGGCACTGAGACAGATTTTAATATACCATCCCATTAGATATGTATTTAATAAAAGTAAATATTTGTTATTTGAAAATATTAAATATTTGATGGATCATTTTTTAGATAGGCAATTAACCGATGCTAAACATGCATTCATGTTTTTCTTTTTTCTTTTTTTTTTTTGGTTGTTGTCACCAACATTTGTTGAAATCTGCATGGTGTATGGTACCAAGCAGGTTCACAACATAAGAGGTTTTAATATTAGGTTAGATTTAGGTCATGACGTCAGATGACCAAAATTTAATGTCTAGCCAGCATCTAAGTACAACATTATTTTGACGTCCAATAACAACCTCATATTACGTTGATATTTGGTTGATTTTAGGTTGTGTTAGAAAGTAACCAAAATCCAACATCTGATAGATGTCATATTGGTAACATCCACACAATGTCAAGGTGTAACATAATTAGACGTTGATATTTGGTTGATTTTTAGGTTGATTTCAGATTGAACGTTGGACATTGATGTCGACCTGATGTTGGGTTCTGACGTCAACCGGATTTTCAAAATCAAAATCCAACATCCCCAAGAAAATGGGGTGTGTTGGCGTATAACATCAATATGACGACATGTTGATATCCTGTGACTGCAGGGATGTAAATTCAAACCCTTTTACCTAGCTCTGCTCATAGATATAATGTACTTTTAAGCTGATATATAGTCATTGAAAACGGCAATTAAACAACTAACAGCCATTCACTGATCTTTTCTTTAAATGTTTCGCTTTAAATGCTTTTCTGTTTGCGACTGAGGATAACAAAACTTCAGAGAAAAATGAAAAAAGTTTTGCATTTGATGTGACTAATCCAGAAAATACCCTGCAAAATGCAAATCTTGTTTATGTTGTGACATTAATTAAATGACCCATCTGGAGTAGGTTCTGCTGATAAACACTGCAGTGCTTATACAATTTAATGTCTTATTTTCTGTGCAGGTTTGGCACCAGGTGGATGAACAAGACATTTCAAGGTCATAAAGTGATGTCATCAAATGCATTGCCCTGTTGAGGATCGAATACATCTCAGTCTGTTTTCAGTATCTTGGAGCAGAAATGAAAACGAGTGAAATGTGGTTGTGAATGTGTGTCTTTGAAGGACTAGGTGGAGGCAAGTGAAGGAGCAAGACCTTTGATGGATCCAGGATTACTGCTGAGCTTTTGACAGACTGATACAACATGAATGTGCAAGGAAATGCACAAGCTGGAGAAAACAACCAACGGGAAATACAAAACGAGGACAAGCAGACTTTGCTAGAAGCTGTAGAAGATGCCAATGCCAATCAAATCACCAAAGAAAAAATTAATTCAGATGACCGAGAGAATGACAGTTCCGTACCCATGTCGCACTCTGAAGCAAAGGAGAGGATCATTATCTGGGGAACACATGCTCGAAGTGTAGACCCTGAGCTGGAAGAGTTTGAACTGCTGGAGTCTAATGAGTTAGAAACATTTATTGTGGACAAAGAAGAGGTACACATTTCGAGTGAGAGAAGACAGAATGGAACAAAAAACTTTGGTGACAGGAAGTTGACTTTTGGATCCCCTTGGAAAGACCACAATGAAAACCACAGTGTGGATGGAGATGCAAATGAGAACTCACAGCCCCTTGACCTCAGGACCTCTAGCTCTCGCTCTGGTGCAAACCGAACCCTGAGAGATGGCCGAAGTGGATCTGAAAGCAATGTCTTTTCATCTTCTCTTTCTGCAGTGACCAGCCTCAGTGGAAGTTTAGCCAGTGCCCTGGACACTGCAGGCTGCACACAGCCTCTCTATTCCCAGTTCACCAAGTCTACCTCAGGCAAAGGCAGGAACCAGCAACCAGCTACTACTGAGTCCTTCATCCACTCAGAGAGAAACAGGGATCTTCCCAGGGATTTGGACCAAAACCATAACTCTACTATACTGCCTCAGGAACCACAATATGACCGAAGTAAGCTAATCACTCCAAGTGGTGCATATCCTTCAAATGGAACCATAAAAGTGCATAAATTCCCAATGGAAGCGGAGCAGAATACTGGATATAAATGGATGTCAACTGAGGTGCCGAAAGGTATGGTGAGGGTACAACCTTCTTGTCGGCAGCTTGTCCGCCCTCTTTCTACAGAAAAGCGATTAACCTCAGGATATCCCAACAGTGACCAGGCAGACCAACAACAATCCCACTATTCAGAGACCTGTCATGGACATCAACAAGTGCTAGCTTGTACAGAAGTCAACAGTAATCCCAACACAGGCACAGAGATGGTTCACAACCAGACCTTTACCAGAGAAGCCCAACGTATAAAGAGGCAGAGCTCAGCAGATCGTGCCGCAAGTCCCTCCAGCCTTGAAAGAAAGACACACTTCAGCCGCCGGGCCTACAGCAGTCCAAGTAGACCATCCCCTCCTCCATCCCCCAAGACCACAAGGTCTCCTCAAAGGCATCCTTCATCATCACCCATCAAAACTTTACCCTCTCGAGCTCCACAGTTGGGTTATGCTGGGTACACTTCAGGCTTAAGAGCCCCAGTGAAAACAACTATTAACACAAGCGTTCACAAACCTCTTGCACAGCAGACTTCAATGGAGACCTCCCCGCCAAGCAAGTGTCTGCCAAAACCAAAAAGTGTCCGGCCCAAAATCATCACATACATTCGAAAAACCCCGCAGGTGAAACCCCAGCCCCTTGAAGGATCTTACGAGGTGTCATCCTTACCTACAAGGCTCTCAACATACAGCAGCACACAGGCCAAACCAGCTGTAGGAGATCAAGGGGAAGCAAGTGTGCTGAGTGCCTCAAATTTACTCTACGATAAGTATCGACAAGAGATGCAGAAGGTCCGATTATTCTCTCCTGGACTAATGGGGTCTGGGATTAAACCACCCAGCAACACCATGCCTCACAAAATGGCTGGCAGATCGGACAGCTTCTACGGGTCTCTTAACAAGCCTCTATCTGCAGCAGTAAGGAGTGATTTACAATTGAGAAATATTTTGTTATTAATTAAATGCTTTTATATCCATAAATATTAGTTTGTGTGTATTGGGAGAGTTTATATTCTGCAACCTGGGGTCATGTTTTTGTTTTTTAAAATTAGGTGGGACGATCCGCAGTTGGCCTTGGGTCTCCAGTGTCTGCAGCTGAGGACCCATCTGGATCACCTATGGGAGCACAGGATACAGGGAGTCTTTTTCGTTCACCACGGGGCCTAAGACCTCAACTTGGCGTTGGTGCTGTAAACAGGACTCCTTCTGTACTTGCAAAAGGCAGGATGACCTTAACAAGTCACCCAAAGTCACCACTGACCATCAGTCAACCAATGCAGGCAGTTAACCCAACCACTCAAACTCCTCAGGAAACACAAGGTAAGATCTATCGCACAGTTCCATTTATATGGCATGTTTTACATCGCTTTCCATCAGTAAAGCTATCTCACATAGCACACTAGTGCAGGTTCGGTGTTTAAAAATGGTTTTCAGTGATAGAATCACCAAGGCTTTGTCCTAAAGGCAAAACTGACTCTGGAGTGTTTTGAGATGAGTAGATGTAAACAGAAAGAAGGAAGAGAATGCCATAAGTCTTCGCATCCCTGCCAGTAATGCATTTGTAATTGTAAGAGATAAACTCATCCCAGCCTCTCGTCAGTAGAAAATACACTTTACCTCCTGGCATTTAGTTGAATATAAATAAAGTTCACATTCATCTTGTGCCATGAGGGAGTTCTGTCTGAGCTTAAAAATTCCCTACCATTTCTAAAGCGCACTTTATTTCCAACAACTTTGCCTGTCAAGGTGAAGATATGAGTTATTTCATCTTAAATCCACTACCAACATTGCCATCATCCTCTGTGTTTTTTCTAGAGGGCATCTGTCTATCTGTATTATGTTATCTCACTGCAAACCCATGACTCTGAAGCTAATTTTATGCTGTTTGGCCCTATTTGCAATGCTTTGATGTGCTAAGCAATTAAAAGTCAAGGCGTCAATATCTTTGTGTTACTAAGCCTTGTCACAATTTCTGACTGTAGTTGAGATATATCCTTTTTATGGTGTAAGGATACTAATGCTACAGTAGGTAAAGAGACTTGTGGTAAGGAGATTTATTCTGGTAGTTGACACATAAACCGTATAAAAGATCTTGAGAGGAAGGTACACCTGAAGAGAGATTTGTTAATAGAAACTGCATTTACTCTTTCGGTATGACGAGGCCCACACGGAATCTGCACACGCAGAAGTCCGCAGATTTTTTATCTACTTACTTGTGTAAATGTGTGTGAATTTCAATTTATTCTGTTTTTTAAAATTAATTTTAGTAATGTCATTGACTAAAATGAAATGTTTATTTAATTTATTTACAATGTCTTTTAGGAGATATATTACATGAGAGACTTGCTTTGTTTACCAATGTATAAGTGGATCTAATTGGATTTGAATTGTAAACATTAAATAACAATTTAACAGGTATTGTTTTTTTATTTATTTATCATGTATTAGTTTTTAATTATGATACTCCCAAAATAATTCCACATAAATCCACAGATTATCTACAAAATTCTGCGCAAAAATAGCTAAGTAATAATGCAGATTTTGTCTGGGCCTAGGTATGACTAAGCTTTCAATATTGCATGTCCGATTCCATGTAAGTGTAGCTAGCAGTGATTTCCTGTTAAATTATTTATTTTCGGTTAAAAATAATTAAAACGTTTGTTTTCAAACTTACTTTGGAAATTACAAACTTGGATTTCCAGGTAGGAAAATTTAAAAGTTGTCTATAGTAAATTATAATGATACCAATACATACTTACTTCCAGTGCCATTTATATCGAAGTTGATTTTGAGCCACACCATTTTGGTGTTTTGTAATATCTAGTTTTTATGAGGTGCTCTGTTAGCCCAATGTTCAACCCCCGACCTGGAGGACCAGGACATACACAGATACACTTTGGACAATTAAGCTTACTGAATTCACCTACAGCACATGTCTTTGGACTGTGGGGGAAACCGGAGCACCCGGAGGATCCCATGCAAAAACTGGGAGAACATGCAAACTCCACACAGAAATGGCAACTAACCCAGCTGGGGCTCGAACCAATGACCTTCTTGCAGTGAGGCGAAAGCACTACCCACTGTACTACCATGTCGACCAATGATACCTATAAATGGTTAAATATATTGTTGTATAAATACCTTTGTCACATTTCTAGAACTTTACATCTACAAAGAACAGTAGACTATTTTCTTATTGTGCAATGCATTTTATGCAATCAACAGAACCTAGAGTGTATTCATGTTTCATTCTTATTAATGTAGTTTTTAAAGTGTTTGTCAGTGAACAAGTAAAAGCTTGTTGAAGGGCTCTATTCATTCACTCATTGAGAAATCATTGATTTCCAGAGCTTCAATCCACATTTTTAAATTTGCATAAAAACACACATTCGTTTCCACAATAATTTGTGAAAATGGTTTCCCAGTGGTGTTAAAAAGAGAGTTTTTTTCATTCAATAACACAATGGAAACAGGTTTGGTCACTTTCGTCATAAAGAAAGTATTAAATAAACATTAAAAATGTTAAATCAACTGAGCAATGGGTGACTGATTTGTGTGATCTGGGCGAGTTCGGAAATATGGGGAAGTAGGAAAAGGAAGGAAAAAAGACGATTGATGGAAAGAAAAAAATGCAGCGAAGGAGAACAGGAACACATTCATCTTTAATGATCACGACCCTCGCATGAAGCTGAAGCTGCCAGCAATTTCATTAAAGACCTTGATGGTCCCCGATTGGGGTTGGGGGTCGCCGGGGGAAGCGATGGAGCCGGGACAACTTTGATTAGAGATGAATGGATGAGAGGCTGCTTTGTTGTGTGCATTTGCTTGAGTGTGTATGTGTGTGTTTTCATATGTGGAGTATGCGTCTCTTTAAAGCATACTGCTGACACTGCAGTCTAATAAACGTCTGAGACCGCACAGACAAAATGAGAATTGGTAGATTGTCATTTAGTATGCGCTATGCTTTGCTCCAATCAAAATGTCTTGGGGATGGGGAGGTCGAGGTGCTTTATCTGCAGGAGCAGGAGGGGATCATTCTCTCCACCTGCCCAAAATTAACACCTCGGGTAGGGGGGAGTCTGGCAGTTCAAAGCCAGCCTTGAAGTGGTCCCTAAATTCACCCTGCAGTAGCGCTTTGCATGTGCATATTTATGTATATATCTGTGCTTCCCAAAATCTTAAAATGTTTGATTTTGCAGCAGGACATTCCCAATGGTGCTAGCAAGTGAGATATCTCATTTAAAGAACCACGATGCAGAGAGCAGAGATGAAAAGAAAGACAACAGATGTATATAATAATCCTCAGTAAATGCATGTAAACAACTTTTCTTTACTGGTAAAAAAAAAAAAAGCCTCACAAGGTATTTACTGTATTTTGATAAGATCTTTTTTTAAGCGCATATATTGTAATAGTTTGTGTAGAATTTATTTTAGTGGAACCAATGGCCTCTTTAATTAATGGCCTTGTGGAATAATTATAAAGAAATAGAGCTTCTTCTAGAGATTGTAAACTTCTGTTAATACCATGGTTTGGCTTACATTTCAAATCCACACTTATTCTCAAGAGCAAATCTCAGATACACAAATTTTTGTAATACAAATATAAAATAATGTCTTTATAGGCATATCAAATGGATATAATTATTTCATGATAAATGTACAATTACAAAGTGTAATCTATGAAAATTCTAATTAAAAACATGTAAGTCTTGTCAACACTCCCAGTTGTAAGAGCAACAATTAATAACTTGACTTCTAGTTGATCATTTGGAAAAGTGACAGAAGGTAGATTTTTCCAATTAATCATCTGTTGGACTACATCCTAATCATCACAAATACTGCAGAAGACCTATTGGAACCCTTTTGGACCCAAGATTCTCAAAGAAATCAGTCAAGAAGGAAAAATCATGGTTTGGGGTTACATTCAGCAAGGGGCGTGCAAGAGATCTGCGGAGTGGATGGCAACATCAACAGCCTGAGGTATCAAGACATTTGTGCTGCCCATTTCATTACAAACCAAGGGATGGGCAAATACTTCATCAGGATAGCACTCCTTCTCATACTTTGTCAAGGTGCTCCAGGATTAGCCAGACCAGTCACCAGACATGAACTTAATTGAGCATGTCTTGGTAAGATGGAGAAGGTATTGAAGATGAATCCAAAGAAAGAGTTATTTGAGTCATTGCAGAGATGTATGGATGCAGTCCTCCAAGCTCATGCGAGTCATACACAATATTAATTCTTTTTCCACTGCACCATGACTTTATATTCTGTACTGTACATTATTTCTTTTTTAGTGACAAGACTTTTTCTAAGAAATGTCAGAGCTCACTTTCCCAATAAATAATTAAAAATCAAGGCATGATCATATTTTGGTAAAATAAGCATAATTTAGAGGTCTTTGCCTTTCATATAAACCACTTCTGATACCAAATGATCAACGAGAAGACAAGTTATTAGGTGCGTTTGACTTGAACCATGGCTGCAGCCGGTGTTTAACGAGATTAGCTGAGCGCAGGCGGGGGCGGAGTTGAAAACGGAGCCATCAAGCCAGACATCCGGACACTTCGGGGCTCAAAATTGGGCCATCATGACCGATCACATGGCGTTCATCATTTTTTACTGTTTTAACCTATAACAACAAAAGATTTACAGTACAAATAAAACAGAATACAGTCTCTAGTTCATTTTTGAATTATGAATTAAATATATAACAAACGCTTGAGATAAATAAAGGGAAAGAGAGGGTAATATAAACAAAAACGAATAGGCCTATTAAATATGAAGAAATAAGCACAAATTCTAGGAGTTTAAACATCAGTCTTTAGGCTAATAATTCTTGTCTGAATTTGCTAAAAAAAGGGTTTACATTTATTTACATTTCTAAATATAAAACCTTTCAATATATTAGTTTAAAACTTGAAACAATGTGTTTTGATTAAGTCTTAAACAATGATTAAGAATATTTTGGATAATAAAAGCATTTTTAAAAAAGCACTGTAATCCAAAAAGATTGAACAAAAGGACTGTAATTAATGAGCTACACTTTAAGTACAAATTTCCCAGAAAGATCAGGTACATCAATGTCACTTCAGCATAAACGGCTTGACAGAAAAAATATATATTTTATATCATGTATTTTTAGATTTAAAAAAAATATTTTAAACTTAATTTGTTAAGAAACCTTTATAGGGTGTCAGGATCAGTGATGATAATTATTTTATTACAAGTCTGTAAGACCTATTTGAGTTAATATTTAGATTATTTACTAAAATATATCAATTACATCTATACAAAGCTGAATGCAGTGCATAGTTTGTATTAAAAAAGGCAAAATCAACATATACAAACAATCTAGTCAATATAAACAAATTATTTAACAAAAGATGATTACAGCAGTAAAATATTTGTAGTCTTTTAATAAGCATCATATATACAAGATAGATATGGTAATAAAAGTTGTTTGTTTTGAAATTTGTGAATTCGTCCAATAATAAACAAGAAACACACATGGTTGTTGTCATTCTGTGAACTCAGCCAATCGTGTAGTTTCGGTGTTGTCATTAATCGTCTAATCTCTGAACACTGTCGCGGTACTTTGATGCCACATGTGACATTCACGTGGCGTCTGCGCAGTGTCAATCCGGACATTATTTCTAACCTGCATGCACCGCTTTAGGACCGATTTCGATCAATCTGCGCCGCGCAGCAAGAAGTCGAACGCACCTTTTATTTTTTGTTCCTAAAACTTGGGTAGACGACAAAACTTTTGTCAGGTATATCACTTATTATAATTTAGCTAATTCAGTCTTTGTGACCTTAATAGCCTTGTTTTAAAAGGGTTAAGTGATGGCTTCAATGGAGGACAAAAGAAACTTTGTTATGCTCAAAAATTGCAAGTACATCCAGAAGCCATCCAAACACTTAATTAATAAATTCATTAAACAAATCTTCTGATCAGTTTTATATGAAAGTATTTTGAGTTCATAAAGTGGCTTTATGAGTCATCTGAGATGTTGGCAAACTTTTATATTAAATTAGACTTCCTGAGTGGATGAGAAGTGTGACTCATGGTCCTTCTCACTGTGCATATTACAGCTGTATATACAGTATATGTTGATGAATGGACGAGGTCATGCTGTGGTCAGACAGCCGCCAACCTCTTTAAGATTCTTTCTGGAGCTTTTTAAAGTCATATTTACCTCTCAGCAGAGAGAGGCTGTAAAACTTTACAATTTCTATCCAACTGTGAGTGACTTTTAGACTGGCTAGTTCATTTCAGGACACAACTTTCTTTGTTCACTGTGTTTTATGAATTTCTCAATTCAAAAAAGCGTGTGATCATCTTACCTACAGAAAACATCTCGGTACTGTAGCTATGATTCCTTCCACATATTTTTCTCCACAATGTCAAGATCACCAAGATGTAAATTAATTCCAAAATATTCATAATAATATTTTGAGCTCGATTATAAATCTTTAATCCAAAACAATAGAATTAAGTGCATACCAGGGGCAGACTGGAACTAAAAATCAGCCCTGGCAGTGTAACCACATCAGCCCACATTACCACTCTGACACAGCCCCATCCACGGACACGCACATTTACTCCTTATATTGGTGTACAGATGGTGAAATAATATAAGCAGTACCATATGTAATAGATATTTAAACATTTAATCTATGTGACTGAAACAAAAACAACCCGTTTATAACAAATTTATACAAGCAATCATTTCATTCATTCATTTCCTTTTTGGCATAGTCCCTTTATTAACATGGGATTGCCACAGCGGAATGAACCGCCAACTTATCCAGCATATGTTTTCACAGCGGATACCCTCCAAGCAGCAACCCATCACTGGGAAACCCCTATACACACACATTTACATACATGCACTACGGACATTTAGGCCTACCCAAGTGAGGGAAGCCAGGAGGAAACCCACGCAAACATGCAAACTCCACATAGAAACACCAACTGACCCAGCCGAGGTTAGAACCATTGACCTTCTTGCAGTGAGGCGACAGTGCTACCCACTGTGCTGCCCCCTTTCTAGACTATTTCAGTTAATTTTAAGTATTTGGCAGCGTCTGATTTTAGAGCAATTTTTTGCTTCCTCTGAGCTTTTCGGCACCGCCTTTCCTTTTTTACGGTCCATCTCTGACAATTAGCTTGTGTTGCACTTACTGTTTGTTTGACATTCTTGCCAGATTTTGATTACGCCCACGTAACCTCTGATTGGGTCAGACCATCTCAAAACCAGCAGGCCATTGCTGATTGCCAATGCTTAACATTTATATTATTATTACTATCATCATCATCATCATCATAATATTCAAATCTTGCAAGAGACAAAAGCTGCCTGCATGTAAAAACAATACATATAATTTATTTGTTTTTTTTTAAATAGCATACCGGCCCACATTTGAAAAAAATGGTCCAGCCCCTCTGGCATTTTCCAGAATTGCCAGATGGCCAGTCCGCCCCTGGTGCATAAGCTAAGATGGAAACGCATTTACCAAATAAATTCATTGATGTGCATTAAAACAAATGAAGACCTATTTACTATTGTGGAAAAAGAGCAAAAGTGGTCCTCAGCTTGCAAAAACAATGATTTGATTATTCATATATCATGCTAGTTTTTTTCTCCAGAACACATTGGCTTATTTTTAGATGTTTTGTGAAGTAAATTCACAGCCTTGGATAGAAAATAACTAACGCTTTAGTTTGTCAGTATAACAAGAATGTCATGCATAGTTTTTTTTAAAAAAAAAGAAGCTATTTTAGTTTTGTTTGACCAGTTAGCTTGAGTGCTAATTTAAGTTTTCCTCACCTACAGATCAGAGAAAGCCGGTGTCGACGGGTTTAGCTGCTAAATCTCTCCTGCCGAAGCCGGCTCAGGCTCAGTCTGGCCTGCGTCCTCCTGGTTATTCGCGTCTCCCTCCGGCACGACTGGCTGCTTTTGGGTTCGTCCGAAGCTCCAGCGTCTCTTCTGTGTCTAGTAACCACTCCACTGACAGCACACGGAGTGACCCCTGCCGACCTGCTTACCGTAAGTTACTGTAATACAAACACACATGGGTTTTAATATGCAATAAGTTGATGTGTTGGTTCTGAAAGTTTGAAACAACACCAACATTGTTTTAAAGTGTCCCTTTTTTCTATTATGCATCAAAAATGTGATAGTTTGGTTTGGTCCTCAACAATGGGGCGATATGCAGGGATCAAGTGTTCACAATATCTTTAAATAATGGTGAATTGTTCAAACAACTCCTGAGTTGACTCATATTTTTGAGAAACAATAACTTTATACACGATGAACTTTCCGATTTAAACCTCAGTTGGATGTTTTCATTCAATTAGAGCTGTGTTGTTGTGCGTTCACACTGAAGGTGGTGAGAGCCTCATAGTTACTGGCAGTCATTAATTTTCAATGGGAGCCGGCAGCAATAAGCGTCGATTCTAGGTTCATCGACGTCGGTGTGAGCGTTGAGAACAGTTGAAATCAAGTCAACTTTATGGTAATGAGCTATGACACAGTTTGGTGGCAATCAATCAGAATGTAGAGGTCCACAGCTTGAGAGGTTTTCAGAGAACACAGTCACTGTGAACTAAGGTTCCGACCACAGTTGTTCCCAAGGGTTTTGATATTGCGGTGGCAGGATTTCCAGTTATTTACGATGTTGTCTTACAGGGAATTAAATAAAAAAGTTACTGGTGAGTTACTGATATGCATTATTGTTATATATGTTTTTATAAAAAGACGGAATCTCAGTTACAGAACAAAACAGTATTGCTGCTTCAGAATATTTCAGACAAACTTGAGCTTTCATAGTTATATAAATTGAATAAAAGCCGTGCAACATTTTCATGCTGGAAAGCATGTTTTTTATGCAGGAATGCAACTAATTTGCTGATGTGCTGCAACTGCCTCTTTAAATACGAGATAAATGTAGCAAATTTTGACACTCTTGCCACCTTCGGTGAGCACAGTTACACTGCATGGAAGTTAGTTTTCTCAAAAACTCATAATTGAGGCTCTTTAAATGCTCAGCAAGCTTGCTGTTATTATCATAAATACAGTAAAACAATAATTTTACAAATCAATGTATATGCATTTTATTCCTGATGGCAAAGCGGATTTTTTCAGAAGGGTTAAGTATCTTCTGGATTTCTTATGATACTAGTGTAAATTTAATACTTTTAAATGTAAACAGTGCCTAAATGTATCAATACTTATTAAAAGAGCCCCAAAACATTGGATTACATTACAATTTTTTTTTGATGTATACATTTAGCGCTTTCGGGTTTATAAAAAGCATATTAATAATAAGATGCATTATTATTATTATACTTAAATAGAAACATAAATAAACACAAAAAAATTTCTGACAATCTGCAACAAAACCTGAGGCACCTAACCAACCACAATAATTGAATAAATGTGGATACAGAGCATATTCTTGTTCTGCAAACATACTTTTTTTAATATTATCTGCAAAAAAGCTACAGCCCATATGTTTATTATTAAAGATTTGCACCAGTTTCTCGTTAAGTATTATTCTCTTGATCACACAAAGTGAAAAGTGCTTCGTTATTTATGGAATAGTCGAATTGCACATATTTAAAAGGGAGAGATGAATTTCCTGCTCATTTTTTTGCTGTAACAATAATCTACAAAAATAGAAAAATAAATAAATATTACATTTTCACTAGTGGTCTCATATATCCGACCCTGTTCATGCTGCAATTTAAGATGCCATCTAAAGTGTTTGTAGCTCAGAGCATTGTTAGTCGAGATCCCGGAGGTACAGTTTACATAAAAGCATAATGCTCCACTTTTAGAGTTAATTATAAAGCAATTTGCATCATTTGATTAACTCCACCCACAAGCAGTGTGCAAATCTCCTTTAGTTAATATATTCTGCTCATAACTACAGTCCCTAACATATTCATATATGACATATTCACTGCAGCTGTGAAAAAAAAGATTTTTTCTTCTTCTCTTTAGTTGGTCTTAGCTTTAGGTCACAACGAAACTTTGTGTTTGATCCAAGTGGGCTTCTTTCATAAGCAGCTCCGTAAGTCAACACAAATAATCCTCAGTGTGATCAGAGGCTGTTCAGTTCTGCTGAAGTCGACTCCAGTCTGCTTTTAGAGGGGGGACGTCTTTGAAAATTGGCATCTGCGTTCGCCGCATGTGTTTTTAATGCGACCTACATAAGTGATGTTGGCTGGGCTTCTCCTGGTAACAGTTGACGTGGCTGCAGATTCAGGCATCCGGAGATTCATGCGTCACTGGATCAGTTATGTCATCGGGTCTTTTTATCCTGAAATCACTTGGGAAGTGGAATCCCTCTGTGTTCAGAGTCCTGGATGAATGAAGGAAACAGATGCAAGAAAAAGATATTGCAAAGAAGTTATGTGACGTGTTGTATGTGTTACAGTGAATCCAAAAACTACAGGGCAGAAATCTTTTATTTAAAATAAATATAGCAAACTTTTGAAGTTAGTTTACAGTTATGTTTGCTGTTTATTCAAACTACTTATTTTAAATGAGCTGAAACAACACAATTCCAAGTTTTTTGAGACAAATTTATTGTTTTATGTTCAATCTACTTCATTTTGTAAAAAATGAATAAGTTGTCTTAATTCCTTTATCTTGTCTCAAAACAAATCAATTGTTATTATGTATTATTGTCTTTTTATTACTTATTTTTTACTATTTCTGTTCTAAATATAATAAGTTTAATATAAATATCAACTTATTTGTTTTTATTTTTATAGTACTTGGTGTCTTAGTCTAAGACAAAATGTATAACTTTATTTTATTATTTGTTTTTATTTCATTTTATTTGCATATTTTATTAGCTTTTGGCTTTATTCATTTACTATAAACCAGAATTATTGCAGTTTACTAAATGTAAAGCCAGTCTATTTTATCACTTGAAATCAAATAAATGTTAACTAGGAAAAAATCAACACATGATCATTGTGAAAACGTACATCCGCTACATCTGGCTGCATTTTGTCTTTGAATCAATTTTTGCATTACCAGCTGACCGCTTACCTCTGTGTGGACAGCTTTTTCACTGTTACCAGATACAATACCGAGGTATGTATGTATATATATATATATATATATATATATACACACACACACAAACACACACACACATACATACATACCTACATTCATACTGTACATACATACATATATGCATACTTAAATGTGTACATATATACACTTGTATATATTCTCTAAATATTTCCCAAATGATGTTTAACAAAGCTAGGACATTTTCACAGTATATCTAATAATATTTTTTCCTCTGGAGAAAGTCTTATTTGTTTTATTTCGGCTAGAATAAAAGCAGTTTTAAATTTTTTTAAAGTCATTTTAAGGTCAAAATTATTAGCCCCTTTAAGCTAATTTTTTTTTGGATAGTCTACAGAACGAACCATCGTTATACAACATTAACTATTTATTAAGTCAACTAATTATTAGATATATTTAAGCCAGTATTAAAAGAAATATTACACTTAAAAACTAATTAGACAAAAACTATTTTAAGAAATTAAATTAAAATGAAAACAAAAATATAAACTATTTAAACTATTAATAAAAAACTACAATAATTATTTATGTAATACCAGATTGACACTGCTTAGATATAGTTTAATCATTTTTGCTTTAATTATTACCAACAACAGTTGCGCAGACACCACTCAGCTTGATAAATTACCATCTAAAGAACAACATGGAGTCATTATTAAGTACTCAAACACTTTTTGGGGCCACTGCAGACATAATTGGGGTCATAACAGTGTTTTGTGTCTGCAAAATTCCTAGCATCATTTATCTCACCATATTTATGTCCTGACATACTAGGGAGTCTGTTATGTTAGAACTCATTACTGAATTTCCATAGCAAATTTCATTCTTCTTCTTTGAAATTAGTCCTGTGATCCACTCAGCAGGGTGTGCATAAGATTTAGTACAGCCGTGTGATCCATACATGCAATGAGTGTGTGTGTGTGTGTGTGAGTGTGTGAAATCTATTTATAGTCACTGAATTTTCACAATCCTTCCACACTATTTAATATGTAAGTCAGAGGTGCAAATGAGATTTCTCTGAAGTGTTGAATGTGCTACAGGGCTGATTGCTGATCTGATGCTGTTTCCACTGCATATTGACTGTCTAGAGGCCTGGACCAAACAAAAAAAGCAGTCAAACACTAGATGAAATGATTCCCTTTTTGGTGTGATTGAGAATGTCATTGTTGTTTGCAATTATAAAATGGGACATATTGTGGCACTTTCATAAGATTTAACATACATCTCTGTGGTGTCCCCAGAACATGCCTGTGAAGTTTCAGCTTCAATTACATCACAAATCTTTTATCATAGCTTCTCAAATATGCCCCTATTTGGATACACTCAAAAAAATAAATAAAATAAAACTTTTGTGTCTTGTTCAAATTACTTATTTAAAATAAATTGAAACAATACAATTCTTGTTTTTTTTTTTAATGGAGCACTTTGTTCAAGTCAATTAAGTCAATTAAATACAATTAAGTAATTTTTTTTTACTATTTCTGTTCTAAATATAATTATTTTAATAGATTTTTTTAAATAGAAATTTTATAGTACCTAGGGCCCTAGGCACTAAGAGTCCAAGAAAAATGCATAATTTTATTTTATTATTATTATTATTATTATTATATTGCATATTAATTCATTATTCATAAATAAATTCATTATTTATTTAATTGAATATTTTATTATTTTAGGTTTATTCATTTACTGAAAACCAGAGTTACTGCAGTTTATTAAATTTAAAGGCATTAAACTAAAGTCATTTTTATCACTTAAAATAAAATAAATTATTTTTAATAGGAAAAAAAATCAACACAGCCTCATTGTGAAAATGTAGCCCCGTATACATTTCTGGAAAGCATGAATTATGTAGCCAAAGCTACAAATGGCTGCATTTAGTCCTTAAAAAGAACGCTACGTGGTGGTATGTAGTCTTACTTTCATAAAATTTA